AGCCTTTATGTATAAAGCATCGAGTTTCTTGTCTTTCAAGCAGTGCAGGGCAAAGAATGAACCTTTGGGCAAAGCTGCCTGGTAGGAGGTGGGATCCCTCCACCCTCCCGGAGCTGGGTGGGGGGGGTGTTTTGCTTTAGCTTCCAGGTCCCCAGTGCAGGGTGTGAGGGGTTAACACAGACTCTGAGACCAGGCTGTTAGGACAGACGCCTGCCCCCCATTTACTGTATGGCCTTAGGAAAATTGCTTAACCTCTGCACGCCTCAGCCTTCCTATGTAATGCAGACATGAGGGTTTATACCCACCCTTAAGGTTTCTGTGAAGATTCACTTAGTAAGAACCTATAGTGTACATTAGTCATTACTTTTATTCTTCACAGATTCCAAATGAATTTCCCTTTGTAATAGAGGCCATGGCATTTTGTCTTTTTGCTCATTTTTCACATTAGTGTTTTATATTAGCTCCTTGATGGCAGGGAGTGGTGACTGGCTAAGTTGGTATCTATGTTAGTCTTTGCCCCCAATTCTCAGATTGGTGCCTTCCCTGTGGGAGATACTGGTGTAAGAGTTTGACAAACTAACTGGAGAGGAATGAACCATGTCCTCACTTTCCACATGAGTACCCCACTCCCACTCCCTCCTTCCTAGCCACCCCTTTGTCTATCTTTGTCTCAGCTAGTCTCTGTTGTTCTGGGATGAGGAGATCCTGGCCACCTACATTCTGTTCCAACCGCCTCACTTTTCTGAGGAGGTCAGTGGTAAGAGGAGCTTGTCCCTTGGTCACACAGCTGGCTTGTCTCGACGCCAGGATGAGCCCAAACTGCCCAGCACTCAGCCCAGTGTTCTCTTTGCTACAACATCCTCTGAGGTAGACCAGTAGACGCGATGCTAGAATTCCTGGGCTCAGTTCCCCTTTGCCAGTACAACAAATAGAGTATTGAGGAGAAAGGAACTAGTTTTATTTTTGGACAAATGAGGGTAGCAGACCAGAGAGAAGATCACCATCCTTCTCAGTTGCAGAGAGCAGGAGTATTTGTCCAGAACCATCGGGGGCAGGGTGTTAGGGTCAGTCAGTATACCCTCCTTGAAACACGAGGGGTTGAGGGTCAACAATTCTGATGTCTTTGCAAGGTTCTGTCCTTGGCTTTGTTTTAAAGTTTCTTTGCAGCAAGATCCTTTGCCCTCAGAATGCAAAGGAAAAGCACCATGCTTGTTAAACTTATACGTCCAGATTTGTTTAACTTAGAGAGGGAAAGGTGTGTCTCTTTCCAAGGAAGAGAGGGTTGTGTGTTTTATCCCTGTCCCAGAAAGGCAGTAGGAGACCATGGAAGGTTTGACGAATGAATGAATACATGAATCCTATCTGGAGGGAAGAGTTGCCCCAAGAACATCACCCCTCCTCTCCTGGAGTCCCTATGACCTGGTGGTCTCAACCCCTCCAGTCTAAGCACCATGGCAGGAGGAAGGACATGTCCTCTGTGCCAAGGCCTCCCAGGGGAGGCCTGGCCTCCAGCTCATGTCTGCAAAGGTCGTCCTGCCTCTGACACCCCCCACTGCTGGCTTGCGTGTATGACATACACCTTTTTCATTGTTCTCTGTAGAGATCACGGCTGTTCTCTGAGATGAAGCTTCTTCCTAGGAGTTGTGGTACTCAGGCCCTCATCTCCACTGGCTGCCTGCTCAGGGCCTGTGTGTGGCCTCCACATAGACCATCTGGACAAAGAGACTCCTCGGGAAGGCTCACTTCTGGCTCTGCTCTTTTATTTCCACACAAAGGTAGCACCCCACTGGACCGTCTCTCTTCTCAAGGAGACCCCCCAAAGCCTGGGGTTCTCCTTGCAGGCCCAGCGTTTCCACCCCCACCCTGCCTTCCACCTCCAGCCTCAGCCAGCCCTGTGTTTCCAGTGCCACCTGGTGCTGCCTTCCTCTCTAGCCTTAATTCCATCCCCTACAATTGGAGCCTGAATAATGAGTTATTTCACAGGAAGATTGATCTGGATATTAGGGCATCGTTTAGTTTGCCATTAACAATGGCCAATTTTGGTTACATGCTCAGCTGTGAAGGGGAAATGGGCCAGGCTTCTTGAACTTCCTGCCTTACACACGGGGCTGGTGGGAGGAAGGAGTGGCAGAGGGGTGGGTCAGAGGAGGCGTTCTGGCTGACTTTGCTCTTAGAATGCAGTTATTAAGACTGAAAAAGGATAGTACCCCTTTTTAAAGGGGAGGGAAAGCTTAGGGTTTGAGGCTGGAGATGCCAGCAATGGGAAGACATCTCTTTAAAAAGTTGGCAAAATGGTCCCTCCCTGATGGTGCAGCAGGTTAAAGCACAGACTGAGAAGCTAAAGCCACTTCAGCATGAGTTCCATCCCCGCCCCGGAGGTGATCCACATGGCGCTGCAGACCTCTCCTGACCCACCTGCTGCTCCCCTCAGGAGTGTACTTCATCAGTCTGCCTGTTCTGCTCCCCACTCTGTCTCTGGTGAATCCTCTCACCACCCCTGCGCCTCTGGCCTATACCCCAGTTCTGTATGCATAAATAAACATTTTTTTTAAGTTGGCAAAGAAACCCCAAATTTAAGAACACTTTGGAATCATCAATATTTCAAAAACACCAGAATGACAGAACACCTCTCTCCCCTACATTCCACATTAGACCCAGCTGGAGGACTTAGGGTGCCTCCAAGTCTGATGGGGGAGGCACAGCAGCTGCCCTCGGGGATCCCAGTCTGATAGAGGGGCAAGACTCGCTTTCATGTCCCCTCCACAGGAGACTCTCCCTACCTCCCACTCCTCTGTGTCACATCACCCCACTTATTTCCCTCGCCACACTTTTCATAATCTAGCATTTCCCTTTTCACTTATTTTATTCTGTCTCACCTGCCTGTCTCTTCTTCAACTAGAGCGTAGGCTCATGAAGGCAGAGACATAGTCTGTGCTATTCTTCTATTCCCCGGGGCCTGCGGAGTGCCCACACCTGGTGGCACGTGACACACGTTGGCTTCAATAAATGAATGAATGGCAAAGCCTTGCCTTCCTGGGGGTGGCAGCGGGAGACCAGCAGAGCATCCCCCTGTTCCGCTGTGTCTCTGTCCCCTGTGAGAGCATTAGGTCCTCAGCTCTGTGTGGGCTGTGCACATACCCTCTGTGAAGTATTTTGCAAATAACTCAGGGCACCTGCATTCACAGAAACCACTCTTTGGAAGGAGGTTAAGAACCCCTGGTGCAGGGACAGCACGTGAATGTTGAGTCAGCTGATGTGAGCCTATCCTTTGGGGAGCCTCTATGCACCTCTGAACCTAGTTTTTTTTTTTTAAAGGATTTATTTATTTTTGCATATTTTTGGGTACAGGCCAGAGGCTCAGGGGCAGCGAGAGGCTTCACCAGAGAAAGAGCGGGGAACAGAACAGGCAGATCGACGAAGTACATTGCTGAGAGGAGCAGCGGGCGGGTCAGGAGAGGTCTGCCGCGCCATGTGGTCACTTCCAGGGTGGGCGGGAATCGAACTCATGCGGAAGTGGCTTTAGCTTCTTAGTGCTGCGCTTTAACCCGCTGTGCCACCAGGGAGGGCCTGAACCTAGTTTTTAAACAACTCTTTCTTTTGGCTCACCTGTTTCTTGAACAACTAAAGTAGCCATGATTGTAAAAATGCTCTGTTGCCTGCAGTGTTCCGTGAATGTGAGTTGCTATTGAATGTCTGTCAGAGCAAGTTCCTCACCCATCTACGACAGAATGATTCCATGGACACGACAAGAGAGGCACCTGAGGCAGGCCCAGCGGGAGACGCCATCGCTGAGCAAAAGCCGTCCCTTTTGACTTGAATCACAGGGGAGTCTCCGCTGGCGGGCGAGGACCTCATGAAACCCTGTCGCCTTTGTCTTGCAGCCTAGCCTGGCGGGCAGATAACCAGAAGACCTGTTAATGATTTGCGAGGAGCATTAAGGCATCAGAAGTAGAGGAAGCTGCATAGGCTGGAACTACATTACCAAGGCGATTAAAGTTAAAAACCACTAAACAACCACAGCTTGCTTCCCATCATCCACCCCACAGGCATCTAAAACGAAACCAACAAGAATGTGCTAGAATACGGCAGACACTGAGATTTATTAATCTTAGCCTTGTGTTCACTCAGAGATTTAAAGGCAAGCCCCCAGGCACTGACAGCATCAGCTTTCAGGCACCATGGAGCAACACAGGGGGGCCCTTCCCCTGCACCCCCAACATCCCACACCAGAAACCGGGAGGTCTGCATATCTGAGCACAGTGGTGACACAGAGAAATAGTAGGTAGGAGATACCTTGGACATGGGTGGTCCACAGGTCAGAGTTGAAGACCCTCTAGCAAAGAAGCCAGAGGGAGGAAAGCACGGTGGGAACTGGGGTTTGGAGACCAGGGAGGTCTACTTGGGTGAGTGAAGGTATTGACTGAATCCCCCTGGCAGAAGTAGCTAACAACATTGGTCTGCAAACAGCCCTCATTGTGCAATTATTGGCAGGTTCTACAAACAGAGGGAGGTTCTGCAAACAGCATAAGTGTGTTAATAGCTCCAGACTCTCTAAACAGCAGCTTGCTCTATACACAGAGAGTGGTGCAGTCATCAGGGACCAGGGAGGCAAGCGGCCACAGGATTCATACCCCAGGATTAAAACCACAAACTAAAAGACCATCTGCTGATGCATGTAGGAGAAAGAATGTGGGTTCATTTCTGTGTTCACCCAGAAGACCCCTGCCACAGACACCCCTCTGTACCTGCTGCCCACTTCCTGGCAGTATTGGAGGACAAGCCAGTCCCCCATTCTTTCCCCACAGCTTCACCCAGGTCCACATCGTCACAAGCCACCTCACTGGGAGTCTTTGGGTGTCTGGCAGTGGCAGGCTTGAGTCATGCATTATTGAGAGGGAGGCTGGGTCCTTGCAGGAGTCTGAGGCTGTGGCGATGGCATCGTGCTGCATTGTTCAGTCCTTCTGGTTTACAGTCAGCTTGGACATCCATTATTTATGGCAGCTGAGTGGCTGTGAACAAGCTGAGACTCAATTAAGATAACATTCCCCACACAGAAGCAGTGGTTAATGCTGAGAAGTTATTCCAACTCACCCTTTACTCTGCACCGGATGGAGATACAAGGCAACCACGAGGCAAACTTAGAGAACCGGAGGCAGAGAACAAGATCGAAAGAGAGGCAGGGAAGGCAGACACCCTGAGCCAAGAGGCGAATGTTTTCCCCACTGCCCTCCACTGGCCGCATGCTGGTGCTGGGAGCCCCTGTCTCGGAGGAGAGGAGCCTCGCGAACTTCTGGTTCTCAGAGCTCCTTAAGTTGAACATTCCAGCTTCCCCCTCTCTCCCTTCCCTTGGACTGTCCACCCACATTGTCCAGCTCCCCAGCACATGGAGAGGCTGTCCCGGAGGACTGCGGATGTGGACGTTGGAGACTTGGCTACCGGTCGGCTTCTCGCTGCGCAGCTCAAGAGGTCAAGGATCCTGAGGACAGGAGAGGGAGCTGAGGAGTGTGGCCAGGTAGGGACTTCTGGGCAAGAGTGGAGTGGTCTGGGAGTGGAACTGGAAAATAAGAGGGCAGAGGAGTGGCTAACAGAGATGGGGGAGTGGTGAGGGGGGGTCAGTCTTCTGCTGCCCTGTGCCTGTCCCTGCATCTGCCAGGCCACTGATCCTCCCTTCTGTTTCCAGAGGAGAAGCCCTCTGGATTGAGAGAGTCCTTGTAAGTCCCCCCAACCACCTGCTCCAGCACGGTCAGCTCTTCCTCCTTGTCAAGACCTGGTCTCCCTGTCATCATCACATTACCTTTTAGCAGCCAGGAAACTTGAGGGCAGGACTCGTATCTCATTCATTTTGCATTGCACAAACATGCATGCACACTGGCATCCCTTACATGCACACACCAACTACTGGTGGGGCCCAGACCTCCTCCAGGGAGGGTTGTATCATTAGGATATCTGAAAATCTACTCAGGGAAGGTTAAGCAGGAAATGGGCTCATTAAATCTTGGGACAACCAGACTTAGACTTTGGAGGAGACCATCCCATCAGGAATAAAACCCATAGCACCCCTTGGCTGTGATCCCACAGCAGACCTCACAACTGCACAGTTGACTCCCATTGCCGAGGCAAGGTGCTGGGTTCTGGAACATCCATCCTACAGTCTCCAAAGCCAGATGCCTATGCCATGGCTTGACCAGGAAACAGGCACAATATGGTACCATGCTTATCTCAGGCCAAGCTTCTGGTGGGTGGTCCCTTTGGCAGGGTCCACATCCATGCTTGTGCCCTAGTTATCAAGAGATGAGAAGAAAGTTGGCTGTTTGCTCCAAGTGGGGACTCAGCAAATCGGGATGGTCAAGTGATGTGGGTGGCCAGAAAGCATGTCCATGTCCTCTAGAGGCACTGGGGGATGGACAAACACAAGAGTGGACTGGAAGCAGCGTTGCGGAAAGTGACCACTCACTGTTCCAACCCCTCCCCCGACATTTAGTCCAATCTTTAGTGCAAGGAGGAGAAAGAGGAATGTCAGACACGCTTCCTGACTCAGGAGAGTATTTCCCAGAGGGAAGGGTGGGGTGGGAGCCATTATTAGCAGGGTGCATCTCATGGGAGCTGGAGCACAGGACAGGGTGGCCAGAGAGGATGAAGAGGACCCAATTAGGTAGAGCAGAGGGTTGCTGGGAAGCAGGTAAGATGGGTCCTGGGGTGTGGCTCTCTCAGACTGGTTAAAAGGGAGGAGCTGGGTTCTAGACCCAGAGGTAGAAAGCAGGTGGTCTGACTGTCCACACATCCCATGTGCTTTCCTGGACACCTCTGCTCCTGGGCTGCCGGGCTTCCCTCCTTAAGCTCAGGGCCATAAAAGACAAGGATGCCTGCTCTGGACTTGCCAGAGATGGAAAGCTACTGGTCCTGAGTTTCCAGAACATGCTAGGGGCTGGGGTTGGGTGGGGTTGTGACCCCCTCCACCTTGCACCTGGGTCATTCATTTCACCCCAGCATCACATGGATCACGTCCTCCTGCCCACTCCCCCACATCTCCATCTGGAACCTTCACAACACCAGGCAACTTCCCCAGCATGAATTGTTCCCCATTTCCATTTATTTTTGTGGCTTTCATTTAGAGGGATTCACCAGCAGCAGGAAGGTTCACAGGCCTAATCGAGCCTGATGCATCGCTAACCAGACAGGGAACGCGCGTCTGGATTTGTCGCCCGACAGGTACAGATGTCAGAGGCTCTCATCCATGAGACGGAATCACTCTTGGGGATTGAGCGGCTCAGGCAGCGTCAGTCAGAGGCAGCTGCACATCTCTGGTGGGGGGCAGAAGCTGCGGCAGAGCCCCCTCCCGCAGGCCAAGGTCAGCAGGCAGACCCCACACTTCATGCGTTAAATCACGCAAGCCTGCCTCGGGGCTCAGCATTTCTAGGCTTTCAGTAGCCTTTCACATCACCTCCTCACATCAACTAATGAGACCTTCTGGATAGTGCAGGCAAGGGGATGAATGTAGTTTCAGGCAGAACACCTGGTTTGAAGCCTCAATTTTGCTATTTCCTAGGTGAGGTTCCTTGGCAGGTCATTAACCTGCTCCAGGTCTCAGTGCTCTCGTGTGGGCCTGCTGTGAGCATGAGTGGGACTGTGACTGCTCCAGCTACTGTGTTTCTGCAGCAGGACCTGGTCCCTGCCTCTGATAGGTAACATGGTAAGAAATTTATACTTGTTAGCTGCATGTGGCATTGGGTGAGTTACTTGACCTAAGACCTGGTTAGCATCTGTTTAAAATGGAGATGGGGATGCTCCCTGGTGGCGCAACGGGTTAGAGCACAGTGCTGCAAGCTA